TTACTGAATGGGTAAAATTGGAGATGAGTATGAAAATTTTTTTCTGGCAAACGAGAGATTAAAAATATATTCAAAAGACTTAAAAATAACAAAAGACTGTGAGAAAACGCAATATCTGCGGAAATGCTAAATAATGAAAGAGAAAATCTGCAAAAAAGGATGTATATAGTCTTATCAAGAGAATATGAGAAAAGGAAAATTTGCTCAAAAATTGGACCAGAGCTTTATTATGCTTAATATAAAAAAGAGGATAGATTGGTATGTGAATATTACAGAGATGTTGCTCTGTTTGACAACTGTTACAAGATATTAGCCAGGATGTTAAGAGTAAGACTCAACATATTTGCTAAAGATAAACTAGGTAAAATTTGATAGGTAAACTAGGTGAACTAGGTAAACTATTAGGCAAGTTTTAGAGATAATAGATTAGTGATAGATCGTCTTTTACACCAAAATGAATTCAGGCTATATGCTATGAATATAAGATAACCCTTTATGCATTGTTTATAGATTTTAAACAAGCGTATAATAGGATAAGCATAATTACAAAACTGGTTAGGTTAGTAAAAATGACTCTGAATAGCACACAAAGTCATGTTATATGGAGAGAATATTCATCTGATAAATTTAAAGAGAATAGAGGACTTAGACAAGGAGATCCGTTATACAAAGTGCTTTTTAATCTGGTATTAGAAACAATAATACCTAGCTAAAACGACCGGATCCATTTTTAACAAAGAACATTAATGTCTAGCCTTTTCGAATGACCTTACTATTCTAACAAAAACAAAAAAATACAAAAATTTATAAAAAGTTAAAAAAAAAATTGCAAAATAGTTTAAGCTAGAAATAAACCAGGAAAAGTCAAAAAACATGATACTTGGAAATACAAAGCAAAAAGAAGAGGAGCAGTTTACTTTCGTACCTAATGAATCAAAGTAATCTTATTTCGAAAAAGTAATTTATTTTACATATCTGGCGGTTATTACAAAAGAATAGTTAGAAATGATAAAAACTTTCCCTTTGCCAGATTGGCAATGGCAAATAAAAGATGCGAAGCCTAAGACCACTGGTGAAATCCAAATATGTATCAAGAAGCAAAGTTGGAGGGATATAAAAACACTAATAAGGTCCACAACGATGTATGGTAGAATAGTATGGACAATGAAGAAAGCAAATAGGGAGAAATTGGAAAGGTCGAAAAAAAATTCTCGGAGCTATATAACGAACCAAGCATCAGTCACTTCATAAAATCACAGAGAGTGAGATGGATAGGGCACGTGATTAGAATGGAAAGAAAGAGGATGCCAAAAATGATTCTAAAACGGATCCCAATCACAAAAAGAATGAAAGGACGATCCAGACAAACATGGTTTGACAGTGTACAGAAAGATCTCAGAAAAGAGGGAATTGGTGGTTGGGAAGAAAGAGCACTAAACAGGAATGAATTAGGGAGAATAGTTTTGTAGTATAAAAGAATTAAATTAATCGTAATTTTGAGTCTGGGCCTTCAAGGCCTATTTCTGAGCATACTATTGTTGAGTATAAATAACAACTAATTTCAGAAATCATAGAATAAGTTCCAGGAAGGGGTAGGTGGAGCAATGGAGCAGGCCATGTGGTGTAACAATTAAAGCTAATTGTGAAGTAATTATATTGTTTTACATCTAATTATTAAAAAGTATTTCTTTTTTAATTTGCTTGTTAGTTGCATAAACAATTTTTTACTTTTTCTTAGTTAGTTTTCGTTAATTATTTTTATAGACTTAATAACATTTACGTAAAACAAACAAATAGGGACTAGTATAAATATAAGCTCTACTCCGTAGAAAAGTAATACTTTTCAGAATGTCTTTTACTGTTAACATCATCTGTGCCATTGCATTGGCAGCTCTTGTAGGTAAGAATAATTCATTGTATTCTAATAATTATTTCAATATAAGGTTGAATGTTCGAATAATTAAACTTTGAGGGTATACAAGGCAACTATCGAACACGGTGATTAATTTAATCTTGCCCAAGTACTTTCGATCAATAGATCATCTTTAGGGGCATTTGGTCAGTTGTGGCCTCTCCGACATAGTAGAATGTCATAAATGTAAAATTTGGACATAACAATACAAAATACAATACACAAAGACAAACAAACACTTTAAATTTTTTTTAAGGAGAAGCTACATGTTGTATAGAAGCCGGAGACAGAATGAATCTGTCTCCGGCTTCTATACAACATGTAAACATGTAGCTTCTCCTTAAAAAAAAATTAAAGTGTTTGTTTGTTTTTGTGTATTGTATTTTGTATTGTTATGTCCAAATTTTTCATTTATGACATTCTACTATGTCGGATAGGCCAGAACTGACGAAATGCCCCTGAAGATGATCTATTGATGGAAAGTACTTGGGCAAGATTAAATTAATCACCGTGTTCGATAGTTGCCTTGTATACCCTCAAAGTTCACCCCAATTATTTATAAAATAATATTAACCAATATAAATTTACGTTTGTAAATTTGTAAATCTCTCTTTTTCATGTTTGGGTGTCATCTCCATAATATATTGACAATGATTTTGCCTATTCGCAGTAGGAGGTTGTTCTGCAATAATAATCTAAGCTATATGGTTTACAGTAAATGAGCATAATGTATCTACCTACTTTAAAAAATTCAGTGATAGAAAATAAGTACCTTACCTTATAACACAATAATACCTTAAAACACGTACAAAAGCAAAATAAGTAAAAACAGTTTATTGCAAAAATAACTTAAAGCGGCTCAGACGGTTTTTGCAAAATGGTAAAAATATAAGTTCGTCATTTTGCAATAATCGTATATCCCTCCGAAATGGTAAATATATAGAAAAAAAAAACTTTAAATTCGAGTTCATTACTAATAGTAAGTAACTGTTACTGATTAAATTCATACTCGATTTGATCTTAATCAATCTCGAAATCGGGATTTAACCAAATTCCTTCCAAATCTTCTTCAAAATCTTCATAGCTGATATGGTTCAAAAATCCATAAAGAGGCATGGCATCTTGGGGAATTAACTTGAAGAAATCTTTAAGGTCCTTTATTTTTTAAGTGGACAATGGTTTGCCACATTCTACATTCCTACCTACATTCTTTAAAACAGGTTTTCGACCTTTACCTGATTTTTCAATATTTAGCTCCGAAAATTGTTGATCTCTTACATGTTTTTGCATGTATAAAACTATGGGACTTTCCTTTGTAATATGTATTACATGTGTATTTAGCCAATTAATAATATCCCTATTTATATCTGTTTTGCAATTTGTTATGGATTGTAGCAAAAGACTAACTGAAACCATTTCTTCTGATGTTAGACGGTTTACAACAAATTTATTTTCTACTCAGCAAGATCTTATTATTTTTATGTAATCGTTGTCAGTGTACAGTCTTTGATGGGTTTTAAGAGCGCATTCGACATCTCCAAAATGTGAATTATTAGGCAGGAAACTGTGTCCAGAAAGTAAAAAATTTTAACGAAATGGATTCAAGAGACGTATGGTTTTGAAGTATGTGAATAAGCATTAACACTAGCTTAAAACTTCTATTTCCCCCCACAAGAATCACACCATAGAATTAATTTCTTTCCGGTTTTTTTTTCTTCTTTATGTACCGTCTTCTACCGAAGGTTGGCGACCATCATACGATAGGTTTCTCTGTTTTGTGCCGCATGAATTATGTTCGCAGCTTCTGGTATTTGAAACCATTCTCTCAAGTTTCTCAGCCAGGATTTCTTCTTTCTGCCCAAACCTCTTCTACCTTCAATCTTGCCTTCCACGATAAGCTGTAGCAGACTGTACTTATCATTACGGAACACATGGCCAGGTATGACGCTTTCCTCCTTTTAACAGGTGTTAACAATTCCACCTCTTTACCCATTCGTCTTAATACCTCTGTGTTGGTCACTCTGTCTGTCCAAGGTATTCTCAGTATGCGTCGATACAGCCACATTTCTAGAGCCGTTAACTTCTTTATAGTTGCTGCTGTTAACATCCACCCTTCTACGCCGTAAAGTAGCGTAGAGAGTACATAGCACTTCGTGGCGCGCCATCGGAGGTTAATGCTTAGGTTGCGGTTGCTTAAGAGCTTTCTCATTTTGATGAATTTGGATCTTGCTATTTCAATTCGGATCTTAATCTCTACTTCTGGGTCCCACTTGTCATTTACTGTATATCCCAGATATTTAAATCGGTGTACTCTTTCAATACGTTCGTCTTCAATATGCAGGTCGATATGTTGAATTTTTTTTTACTGATCACCATAAATTTAGTTTTCTTTCTATTGATCTTCAGTCCAAATCGGCTGCCAGTTGTATTAACTCTATGTACCATCATCTGTAAATCTTCGATGTTATCGGCCAGTATAATAGTATCATCTGCATATCGAAAATTACTTATTGGTACGCTATTAATCTTGATGCCCTCATTGTACTCTTCTAGTGCCTCTAGAAATATTTGTTCCGTATACAGGTTAAAAAGCAGTGGCGAAAGAATACAGCCCTGTCTTAGCCCTCTAGAAATGGTTATGTTTTCACTCACCATATGTCCATTCTTCATGTGGGCTGTTTGATTCCAATATAGATTTTTTATAAACTGGATGTCCTTAGTGTCAAGTCCTGTAAGACGTAACAGTTCTATGAGTTTGTCATGTTTGATAGTATCGAATGCTTTCTCATAGTCGATAAAACAGACGTAAACATCTTTCTGTTGATCCAGGCATTTTTGAATCAAAACTTGTATTGCAAAGAGGGGTTCTCGAGTTCCAAAACCGCAACTAAAACCGAACTGTGTTTTACTTATGCATTGTTCTAGTCTTTACGGGTGCCTTTATATTTTCATTAATATATTTACGCAGACATGAATCGACTTCTTGTGTTCCCCTGCCTGCCTCTTGCTCTGTCCATACATTGCAAATACCTCGTTTTGTACTGCCGACATAAATACCTAAATTAAGTAAATTTAATTGTCTTTTGTACTATGCGACTTCAGTCGGTATTTTTGGTAAAGGATGAGTTTTTTGGAGATTAAAAGTCAGGGTCTCCAGTGTTTCATCCTGTTGCGCGCATATTAAATCAACCTTCATTTCATTCCTTAATTCATTTGAAATTTCAAGATGTTCCCTGTGATTTCTTCCTAGATTTCCTTTGTGTGTAGCCTGTGCAGAACTTATTTGGGCTTTGTACGTATCACACATTCGACATGTATCCTTATGTGGTGTCTTAAACTGTAAATTAAACTTTGAATAAAAGACGTTTTTATACTTCGTGAGACTTACTGGGTTTTCTATAGTATCTGTATAGAATTGATACATTTTTGATAAATTCAGGTCAGGATTTAAAAATTTGGAGTCCGTCTGATTGCGACAATAATGCAATCAATTGCATTTTTTCCACCACTATATATGCCCCTTTTATCTTTAAAAAGATAACTTTATGTTTGATCTAAGGCTACGCAGACTCTATTATGGTTGATCTGAAGTGTATTTAAAAGGTTTTTTTGCAAACGAGATTGCCATCTATAAAATATTTTCTTGACTTACTTTTTCTTGATGTTTAGTTTTTTGTGTAACATATTTTCTTGTTGCCCTCTTCAACATATTTACTAAGTACAGCACAGTGCCCTTCAAATGTTTCTATACTCCAAAATTGGTAAAAAAATCTTCTTCTTGTTTCTTATTTACAATATTTTGACATTTTCTTGAACATCGACAAGAGTAATCTTCAGTAAACTTTTTAGGTAACACAGTTTTGTTTCTTGCCAAAACGCATTTTTGGTTACAATTTGCAAACTTTTTTTCTTGATCTTCCGCGTGTCTTTATGCCGTCATTTTCAGTTTCCTCGGATTCAGGAAAATATTCACTGCCAAAGGACTGGTATGGCTCATTAAAATCCATTGCAGCAGATATATTTTTCTGAGTGCTACAGTAACTACTTGTTTCTTGTTCTCGGGGATCAGTGGTCAAAGTTTGTTGAAATTTTTAAATCCCCAGGTTCGCTAATAGCTTTCCTCTTGAAATATTTATTAGGCACTCACTTAAAAACATCCACTGTTAATATATTATTACGAAGTAACGATGTTACAAATCATGAATGTGTTGCTTGTGTGAGTCCATTTCAAATAGGTAAAACAAATAATAAATAAGACTTTTCGCTTTCTACAATATATAAAGCATCTTCAGGTCTGTCGATACAAAGTTAATTAAATGCTGAAATAATACAATCCATATTAGGGTGTTGTCTTATAAAGATAAACAAATTAGATGTTATAAATTACAATAATTATGCCAATATTACATGTCTGTGGTTTTATTTAAAAATGAGTAAATTGAATAAAAAGGTGTAAAAAGTTTTAAAAGTTTAGACAGACAAGGTAAGACCCACAAATTTACGAAGAATGTTGCGTTTCGATTTAATTTGAGTCTCTTACCACTCCCTGACACGTGTTTCTGGGTGTACCCGTCATCAGAAGGAGTTTGTAAGAAGACTCAAACCAAATCAAAACGCACCGATTACTCTGGCAATTACATAAAAATAACTATCAGAGTATGCAACTAGAGTCCTCTAGTGAAGAAAGATGAAGATACGTCGATAGCAATTAAAGTAAACTGTATACCCAAGCTTAAACAAGCCATTCAGAGCGGTACTGAGAATAAATATTCCACTATGTACCAACAATTTACCCATATAAATTACCATCAATTTTGTACTCATTGCGTCGAGTAGGGACAATAAATATACGAAGAATGATGCGTTTCGATTTAATTTGAGTCTCTTACCACTCCCTGACACGTGTTTCTGGGTCTACCCGTCATCAGAAGGAGTTTGTAAGAAGACTCAAACCAAATCAAAACGCACCGATTACTCTGGCAATTACATAAAAATAACTATCAGAGTATGCAACTAGAGTCCTCTAGTGAGGAAAGATGAAGATACGTCGATAGCAATTGTTATAAACCCACAAATTGTTATAAAATGGACCCCGTTATGCAACAAGGAACCAACCAACATTACCAAAGTTTTGAGAAAAATTAGAATAATGTTTAGATTGTTTCATGAAATTATTTAGGCATAAAAAAATGATTGACGACAATAAAATAAACACTTTTATTACAATAAAATGGTATTAATGATATTAGTAAAATACATAAGTACAATATGAACTCCTAAGGTAGAAAAAAATCACTTGGTTCTTTGTTGCTAAATGTAATATTAAATATCCACGTCTGGTTCGAAATCTATATCTCCATTAAATCCATCTATATCCTCTATTATAGAATTGTCTGCCGTTAGATTTGTATAAAAGCTGTGGTGTGCTGACGGTATTAAATGAAGATAACTTTGTACGTCTCTCAACTTTGCGTCTGCAACTGGTTTTCCCTCAGGCCATAATGGTTCTAAAAACGTGTTGTACTGTGGTCCGGTTGAAGCTTGTCTTCCTGCTACTTTCCGTATATTAATTTCTTGGTAATCGTCATTGTCTAGGTAAGTCGTCTTCAAAAAAATATTATAAGGCTTATCTTTAAATAATTTAACTTCTTTGGTTCGTAACCAACTTATCTTCTCGTTCGTAATACTTTTTTTTCTGTTTGTGATTTGTTTTTCTAATTTTGAGGTACTGAGAAAATCTTCTTTTACCATCATATTTACATTAATAGGTCGCTTTTGTCTACAAGTTCTCATTATATTGCTGTATTCTTCAGGTGAAAATATATTATTTTGCTTTTTAAGAGCACATTCGACATCTCCAAAATCACTATCATTCGGCAGAAACGTATGACCTGGAACAAGGAACCTCAGCCTAATAGTCTTTAAATGCTGTGATTCCTCCAAAAGACATTTTAACAAAAGTACTATTTTAATGTTTCTGTTTTGTCCACCGCAAGAGTCACTCCACAGAATAATATGCTGAACTTTATCGCTTATGTTAGCGAGAATGTATTTTCTTAGGCAAGATCCCACTTCTTGGGCTCCACGGCCTGCCTGTCCTTCTAGCCATAAATTAAATGTTGATTTTTTCTGTTTACCTGCATAAATTCCACAATTATATACCCATAACTGTCTTTTGTAAAATATAATATTTGAAGATATGCGAGGTAAAGGAAGCGTTTTTTCTAAATCGAAGGTCAGAGTTTCTGTTTGCTCGTCTTCTATTGCCTTGGCCAAGTCAATATTCATTTGTTTTCTTCCTAATTCTGCCTCTTCTACATGTAATTCGTGTTGTCTAACAATTTCCCGTTTTTCATCGTCGTTAATACTTTGTATCTTCACTTTAAATGCATCACATTTATTGCAAGTATCCTTTTTTGGCTTTTTTAGCCTCAAGTTAAAATCTCTCAAAAAAACTTTTTTAAAAGATGAAAAACTTACAGGTTTATCACTTTTTGGTTTGTAAAGATCATACATTATCGGTAAAGTAGTTCCTTCCTGCAAAAATTCTTGATCCATCTTCCGTGCTCTACAGTAATGGGATACATAGCGTGGAAATTGATTTATATGATTAAATATAATATTTTTTTCATCTGCTGAAATCTTGTTGTGTCCACCGCGAACACCTCGTTTGTCAAGTGTAGACAAATTTCTTACTTTTTGTAGAGCAGTATTTATACGTTTAGTTGACACTTGCAAAGTATTCGTATACATATTTCTACAAACTATAACCTTATTTATGAAATATTTCCTTGAGAACTGTCGTGTTGCAGGATTTATCGCATTTGAATTTTTTCTCTGAGCAAAATGTTCTCTAACGGATGTTGATATAAATGTTGTTTGTAGATTATAATCCGCTAAGTTCCAGTAATGTTCGAAAAACTGTTGGAGATCATCAGCAGAAAATTTTTCATGGCATCTTGCAGCACATGAGCACACAAATTTGATAAATGCTTTTGACTTAACAAGTTTTCCTCGAGCGGAGTAATACTCCATATTACTGTTCGTTTTCCTTTTTCTTTCCTTTCTGTCTTGTTCAGCATATTTTTTTCTTTCTTCCTTTTTTTGGACGACCCGTGAAAGATACATCTGCAGTTAAATTAGTTTCTGCTTCATCATTAGGGTTCGAGTTATGGTCTGAAGGTTGTCCTAAACTTTCGTCGGATGAGACGTCGCTGTAGGTAGGTTGGAAATCTTTATCCTTGACGGAATCATCCGAGTCTTCGTCGTAACTGTTACCGTTAATAATCGATATATCATCATGTTTATGGGAATCACTATTGCTGTTACTTGGTCCCTGATTTTCTTTGCTGCTATTTTGCCAGTCCTGAAAAAGAATTTTGCAATAAGGAACCAACTTACATATTCGGAAAAAAATCAAAATTAAATAAAAAACTATAAATAAGCAGGACTGATTATGCTAAAAATTGGCAAATAACATGCTATTAAATAAAAATACCTAATAATATAGTCATAGGACAAAATTTTAGAGGTCTTTTAAGGTTAGAAGTAAAAAAAATATAAATTAATAAACCTACCTCTTGCAAATTGGAAATACAAGCTTCAGTGGAAGACGTTGGTATCAGCCTTACATTATTCATGATTTTTTGCACCCGTTGCGAAAGAAATCTCTCGCTTTGAAGCATTTTCAAAGTTATTTTTCTGGCACTCAACGATAATACACAGCTGGGAAAGTAAATCTGCAACATGGAACCAACTTTCGTAGGTTACAGATTTCTGCAACAAAGAACCAAAGTTACTTGGTTCGAATTAGAAACCTGTACAACCGAATTTACAAATTTGCAATATGGTTCTATCGTCCCCTAGATGTCGCCTATGTCCAAAATCAGTTGGTTCCTTGTTGCAAAACCTAAATAATATTATTTGGAGTCGGTGGGAATCAATAACTCGATTTTTGATAAAATGTTAGTTGGTTCCTTGTTGCATAACGGGGTCCAAATAGTCTATTAGATTGTAATAAATTAATAAATGAGCAAATAAATAAACATTACTTACATGCCGGTACTCTATTAATTGATGGATGGTAGAACATTTTTAAAACTACTATGTATTGTTGAATGGAGAACACAATTCTGCTATTGTAGTTGTTTGACAGTAAACGGGAAGTTCTTAAGGAGATAGATTTGATCCAATGAAGCAGAGATATGTGTGTGATTGTTTGTTAAATGAAAGTGATGTTATATACCATTGTATTATTTAAAAGTTATTTATACTTATTCGAGAGATATATTTATGAAATGTGTGTTATTTATTGAGTAATCGTTTTATGAAGGTGACAGTTTTATGACAATGAATAAGTTTAGATATACAAATTGTGTGGGTGTGCAATTATTTTTTAACTTGTAATTATCAAATTTCTTTGAT